ATCTTCAGCTTCTCCGAACGCGTGACGAATCTGTTAGGCCAGCATTTACCGACTGGCCCTTTCCCTCGTACAGCTAGAAGTTTATTAGCCATATCTGCTACCTCAGAGAGTACAGGTGCAAATCCTCGCGAATCAAGGTCAAGGATATATTGCTCAAGCGTCTGTTCTTCTGTTGACGTCAGATTCTGACAGTTTGGTGCCATAGTCTCGCGAGATCTGGTTCCTCTGAGTCTCTTAGAGAGTATCTGATGATTGATATTGAAAGCAGCAGCTGCGCTCCGTTGGCTCCGAAAATGACCAGATCTATACGCATTGATAGCAAGATCGATTCTACCTTCTTGATTATCTGATGACATGTCTCGTTGTTGATACAATAAACAGGAAAGATGTTGTTTACAATGCCAAGACAAAATGGCCCGTTCGGTGATTTGGCCCGCTCGGTGATAGATTACGTTATATATTATCTAATTAGCTATATTACTAATATATACAAAAGTCGAGTTATTTTTATTTATAAGTATAACTAATATAAATTATATAAAGTTTAGTTATTTATTAGCAGATGGCTCTTTACTGAATCCAAGAGCCTTATCGTTCTCGCCAGCGATGGCGATGAGTAGACGGTGCGAATGACCGTCAAATCTCACACACCCGCCGTACGCGAATCATTTTCGTATGCTTCGGGTTTGAGCTTTGCTCATGAGAACGATCAGACCTCAGATGTGCGTCGGAGTAGCATCCGGGCCAATAGGCTACTGAAGACGACCACAGCTCAAAAGATAAAAGCTCTCGAGCAATCTCCGCCCTGATTCATTTCCAATGCTGATGCGCTGAATCGCCTTTCAAGCTATCGATATGCTGTACAGGAGATGCTCTCTCGGAGGGCCTCTTCGATAGGATTATCGCGTAGGTGTGCCTGAGACAACGAGCATCGAATTTGATAGCCATGGGCCGTAGTCGGGTAAGGTGCGATCTGGTTCCTCCAAGCTTGTATGGCGAGTGATAATGTCGATTATGGTTCTTGCACGGGAATAGCTGAAATCACGAAGTTTTTTTTTACCATTGCTGCTATCGAGGCTGCAAATTCTTGACGAATATCGCAGTCAATTGTGTCTGTCCGTTCGACGAGTCTCTCGATTCCATCTACTTCTTTTTACACGCAGGCTTGAACCCCTGATGAGGCAACACTGGCTCACTGGAACAAGACAAAGCACTGTTCCAAGAAGGACCACTGGAGATGAACTTGCTCAAGGATTCGATTCACTGTCTACCTGCGTGCTCATTTCGGCGAGTCGAGAGACATTGATGGCCCGGCCGCCGACCCTACTGAATCACTCCAAGTAGACTATCGCGAGAGTCCATTTGTTGGCTGGCCTAGAAGCAGCGGTCTATCTGATTGTTAAGCTCGTCCCGTTTTCCCAACACCGTACAATAGCCGGAGAGTCCCGTAAATCCGCAGCAGTAAACGCCAGCGCAGCATCGGAATGCAGCTTGGTCGCAGTACTCGCCCTCGTTCCTGCATTGAGCAGCCTTGTATACGATGAGCATGGAATCGCCGAATCATCAATCATTGAGACTCACCTGTTCATCTCTGTCGAAGATGCTAGTCGAATTGAGGGTGCTGATTTCTCCTTCTTCATACTTGCTGGGAAGGGCCTGGGCTATGGCGCAGAGTGCTAGCACGATCATGGAAGGAAGCCTTGGTGGAAGAGAGTGTTAGATAATGGCCAGGGAATACTGTCCTCTCAGATCATGACATACATGTTGAGAGATGACGGTCCGAACTGTGGCTAAGGATGTGTTGATAGTGGTAGTGATTGATCGTGGGAGTATATTCAAGAAAAGGATCAACGGGGGCACAAGCTGCAGATGTTTGTGGTTCATATATATTGGTACCTCATTGAGATCAGCTCAAGAGCTCCACTATGACCGAGCTCTGTCCCGAAAAAGCTGCCGGTAGGCAACGAGTGTTTCATTGATGCCGACCTTGGTCACGTCGAAGATCGGTCCCTGTTTGGTCACCTGCGATCACCATCGAAGTAGACGGTTTTAGCATAGTCTGCGAGTCAAAAACAGTGTGAAGATAATCCTGGGTGGATTGTGTTGATCGAAACACTATATGCAGTGTCCTTCCCGTTGACAAATATTTGAAATGCACTGCCCTGTTGGTGAAATTGACCGGACGATGTCACTATAGGCATGCAATGTCCTTCGCGGCGAAGTACGCCACCAACATGCGGCGTAGAGTGATCGTCGTCTTTCACCGCAGTGTCCTTCCTGGTACCCTGCTTGTTTCACGTCATAGTTGCGAGATCGATGCTCATCAACAGTTGTACTTGTAGGGTCACAATCAATTTTCCGATGGTGAGCTGCTTGCGCCGCGACCAATGATCTAAGTTAGAGATTCATATTTGTCAAACTACAAGTGATGTCATCTTCCAGCAGACCGTCCTCCGAGGCTAATGAGACGTTCGCAAAGGCTTCCACTAGGCCTCTAATCAAGGGAATCTTCGCCTATCTGGGAAGAAGAGTTCAATTTAGCGGATCAATTCCATGGGAAAATATTGCTTGACGTCGCAGTCGAACAAAATCTCAGAGGGTCTGATACATGGAGGCGGAGCCATAGATTATTGGTACAACGACTGAGCGCCTCGGGAAATTTGTCTAGGCTCATCATGTATTCTAGATGGACAGCGCGAGAGACTTCATGGCCAAGAAGTTTGGCGTTCCCCAGCCGCAAACCGGATCCCACCCGCTGGCAGCCGGAAAGCCATCTGCGTCGTTCGTCAGTAGCTGTGGAGATGTCATTCTTCCGATGGTAAGACTCGCCTGTACCGCAGCCGAAACTCGAACCATTCAATATGTCGTTCATGCCTTGGTAAGCCTTGGAGTACAGCCACGGATTTAAGAAGCCTAGAGGTGGTCTACCTTCGGCGATTCGAGCATCGTTGAGGAGTGATATGACAGCGGCGAATATAGGGGCCGATGCAGAAGTACCGGTCGAGACCTGTAGCTTCGAGTTCCATATTGTTTCCTAGCACACAAATCAGCCAAAGCCAGACGAAAAGAGTGGAGAGAGCACAAGGTGCTGGGAAGACAGGGGTGAGATCAAGGAGAGGATTACAATGTTGTTTCCCTGAGAGTTTCGTTAGCGTAAGCAACGATTATGCAAAATACTACAAATGTATTGTCACATACTTGCGCAGCCACATCGGGATAGCCGCGACCGCTTCTGTTGAAGAGACCAACATAGTCTTCAGTCGATGCTGCGAGGTACTTCTCCACAGCTTCTAACTGGTAATCGGGAGCCTCAAAGTAGTTGCTGAAGCCTCCTCCCGAAGCAAAATCGGTCCTGAGTGATATGTCAATCGCCAATTATCGTCGTATCCATGGAGACTCACGCATATGTACTTACGTTGCTGTCTCAGGGGTTTGGCCCTTTGTAGCCCCCACTGCTGTGACCCAAGGACAGGAGGCTGGGAATATAGGCAGGAACTGCTTGGTCGAATCATCTTGGTTGGACACGCAGTTGCTTACTGAAGGTCCAACGCCGTAGTCACCTGAGGCCACTAGGACGCTCACACCGCGGAGACCCAGCTGAGCAAACGATGTACAGACTCTTCTCGCATAAGATGGAGGGACAGTCTGCTCGAAATCGCCGTAAGAAGAGCTGATAACGCTGGGAAGCGAGTCCTGATCTAGGGCAAATTCGAGCCATTCCAAGTAGGGCTCATTGAGATTCAAGTCACCCCAGAAGCGATTCGGCTGATAGGGAGGAGTCCCGCCGGTGTTGTAAGCCGTCATACGCGTGGGAAATACCATCGCCAGCGTCAATTCTGCGTCAAGATTGCCTTCCAAATTGGTGCCGAGTTGAACGATGTTGTTTGTGTAAGGTCCTTGGTAATCTGAGCCGTTGTTGACGGAAATAATTTCGAAGGCTTGAGCCGCACTCACAGCGTCTGGTCGATAGGTATCCAGGAACTGTGCAATATCTTGACGATTGCTTGTTTCGTTGAGGAAATTCAGAACACCAATGCCGTTCTGTTGAGGTGCTTGCGGCTCGTAGTTGAATGTATGATAGAGACAGCGGATGCAATTAACAGTCGTATAGGTCGTATTGCACAGATCTTGAAGATCACAAGTCGTGCTACGTGAAATATGTTGGGGTGGCTGTTGTGTATGACCTGACCGAGCAGGTATAACATCGTCGCTGGATGTCGGTTGAAGATGTGATGGTCGAAATTCAGCCCGTAGAGAATTGGGAAACATCGTTGTTGGATGTATGAGGTCTACATGTTCAATAAGGTTCTCCGGTAGGGACCATTCGAGTGTGCGTTGTGTCAGCGAACCGTCCTCGTGACGAAAAGTAGAGTACGAAGTCCGGAGCAACTCTTCAGCGCGCTTGATCTTTGTTCGTACGCTGATCCAATTTTGCCCAGGACCAGTAGTCACCGCGTTGTGATTGTTCTTTCGAAGCCAGGCCAGAACAGCGTCCAAGGCAGTATCCGTTGGCTTCAACAAACCAGACAACTCGTTGGCGGAGAGGTGCCGTCCAAACTTACGATTCCCGGGAGTCGAAACTTGATTGAGAAGATCCACGACATATGGGGTCGATGCAGATTGTTTCAGAGCGATTTTTAAGGTGATATCGGCGTTTCCGTCCGCTGGGCTGACCCTTGACCAAGACTTAGCAAGTGAGTGCACCTCAACAAGCTCATAGCGAACGTCTGAAGTCGAACTTGCACTTGCAACGGCCGAGCACAATGCTGCGAAGACGAGATTGTACAATATCAGTATCATACTGTATAGATTGATTGTGGTTGGGAAACGCTATCAGCTTTGCTGTCGCCGAAATTGACCACCTCTTTGGTCGTGCAGATGAAATACTCTGCAAACGAATCATAAAAACCTGTGTGGACCCAAAGCTTTGCTTCGATCGGCAGGAGCAGACTCCCCGAGCTGCGAGCCGTCAAAGACGGTGTCTGATTAGACGCAGGGGCCAAGCGAGGTCCAATTCTAAAGCTGCGCCAAGTGCCGCGGCATTTCATCGTGTAGCTCGTCCGTCCTTCTGGCCCCCAGACTAGTCTGCAGTGCCGCAAACTTTAGACTAGAGGCGGCAAACTGTAGGCTGCAGTGAGCACTATCTGGAAGCCATGTTTAAGGTTCAGCGAGCCGCTACGCTCCACGGGAAGGACAGTTACAGTCGAATACGAAGGACAGTGCATTATCAAGTGAAGTATCGCTACGGGGTAACTCAAAAACCAACAGGACAAAGCTTCAAAGATAGTTCTGCCTATCATGCGTTGTGGCGTTTCCACATGAAGGATGATCGACACCAACACATACTTTTCAGAGACCCCAGCAAACGCCAAGGTTGCCCCGAAAAAGTCTGGGACGATGCCGGTCAAGCTCTTCGCCGCGAGAAGGACATTGCGCCAAATCGCATCGGCAACGCACATGTATGTGCCTCGACGTAATGATTGCAAACTCAACATCCCGTCCTGCAATCGATCATACAGTCAAGCAGACCCTTCAAGACTTAAAAGAAACACGCATCCCGACGACGAAGCACTCTAGTCATATACTAGAACAAGCGAACCATCAGACTTCCGTCATCGACCACACTACAGTACAATTTGCTCCCTTCTCACAATCATGTAATGACCTGCCTATGAACAATCTCAAACCCGTTCCAGCAGAGCACTGATCTTTGATTCCAGGCGTTTCATCAAATTGGCTGTGATGCTTTTCGCAGGCAGCGTTGCCGCTCACCCATTCACGAACTCCACCCTCGCGGCCAAGGATGTACAGGTAAGAACGAATGCAGACGTATGTTTCTTGCTTGAGTTTCTGACGCTCTTTCGTAGTCTGCGCAATGCAGGACCGAGGGTCAATACTGTGATCGCGCCGCTTTCCGGTGCTGTGCTGGCTTTTACTGCTGTGGTGACACTATCACCGGAATCTGCCATTCGCCCGAAACCCAGGGAAGCCCGATCACTCAAAACTGCTTTTAGATTCAATCTGTCAATGACACTCGAACTGGGCGATCTATGGCGGTCTGGGACGACGTATTAGCTCTGTAGCTATGCAATGTTGAACGCGTGAGTCTACATAAGACTCACGCAAGAATGTCGATGTTCTCACTCTTCACCTCATGCAAGCTGCCGTGAAATGTTTGTAAAGACAGTGCTCGAGATTGATGTCGTCGTACTTATGCTGTATTGATGGTGACAATTTTGCCTATGCGAGCGTTCATGTGAATCAATGAATCATCGTAGGCTCTGCCACATTGAGATCCAGAATAACGCCATATTGAATATAATTGTCCCGGGAGACTCGTTGGAAACCGGAACAAACCCTGAAATCTTGGAACGTGTAGATAGTATTGATCTCACGGTAAGATACACGTGAATAGTGACATCTCTCAAAGGAGGAAGATGGACTTCTGAACACATTTTCACGACTTCTGATTTAGCTGTGATTCCGTGAATAGTATGTCTACAAAGGCATTGACCCAACATCGCCATGCATATCAGCGCATGTGCTGCGTCTGTGACGTTCCGTACAGATTCTCTAAGCTCAAATTCCCAAGATTCTGCAAGCACGTCCCCTGTGCGAGATGCTTCTCGCGGTTGCTGCGCCGTGTGAACTCCTTTCCGCAGACCAGACACATCACGGTGTTCTTCCCGTCTTTTTCACGCACATGTCGGAGGTAGTTCTCGTGACAGGAAAAGACACGACCATTGCATCCGTGCTCGAAGCACTGCAGGCGCTGAGTATCCTCCGAGCCGTGCGGGTTCGATGTTGTCTGCAAGTTCGTTTGCTGTGAATTGGAATTCTCGGTTGTGCGGGCCTGTTGATAATGCGCGTGGAAAGTTGTTTCAGAGTTGACAGATGTGTCCCAGCTTGGATCGGGCATCCACCACTGATCTTGAAAAGATTCCTCGGTGAGCCCGGCATTCCAGGGAAATCTGGTCTGATCTTGGAGGATCTCCAAGAATTCGGCATTGGTGAGCCCTGTCAAGGGCTGCGAGTTGATGTTGGGAAACTGCATTTCGAACCCGGTAGTTTGTGGAGCCATATTGAGAGCATCTGCGAGAGAGATTTGATGGTTCTCTTCCTGGTGTCCAGTGATAGGTGACTTCTGCCGTGGCGGCATAATGGATACTTCGTGATCACATACTCGTGCCCATCCATCCGGGTCGTTCGCTCTTCATATTGTGGCGACCACTTGGACTCACGGCACAGGAAAGGCCGTTGACATGGTTGCTGTGCCGCAAGAAGTGTTGGCCCAGAATGTCCAATATCGGGAAGCACAAAGGGTGAGATCTTCAATGTCATAGACTGTGGTGCCCGGCCGTCTTCCTCCATTGAGTTTTTACCGATCAAGATGGCATGCACCGTTAGCATGAAGCGAATGTGGGATAGAGTGCGATCATCCGGGGTTGCTGACCATACGAGTCTGGTCCAAGAACCAGGGTGCATGTCGTCGCTTGAGGCGGCGATATGGCTACAGGATCGATCGTCGCCTTTGATGCTTCTGCAACGCAAGCAACGAAGAGCAGCACGCCGAGGCCAACGAAACACCCGCGTGCCGTAGGCCGCTCGCTTGTTCTTCAGACTAGTAGTTAAAGTGGAGCTATCATCCCCTGGTCACGATCCGTGAAACTGTGTCTTCGAGGCTGAGGCATACGAGGAGGTGCGAGCTGGCGTAGATCATTGCCTGACGTGCATGCAGGCCGGGTCAAGAACGATTTGATGAGCTCGCACGGGCAGTCGAGGGGCAGCGGCAACTTGTTGGTTGCAATCTGAGCGAGGTTACATCATGTCTGGTGCGGCACGTACAGGAAATTGGTCCGCAGATGTTGGAATATTTTGGACTGTACGTCGATCATCGGGGTCGATGCTGGGATGTGCCGCTGTGCCACGTCCCCGCGTGTGATTCATGTGTGAAAATCAGAAATGATCTACATCGTGTGGCCGTCTATAGTGCAGTGGAGACTAGTGGAGGACAGCGCATGGCGGCCGGCTCATCGCAAGCTCGAACCTAATGCGCTGAAGCCCCCGCAGCGCCGTGCCACTGATTTCCGCCGGCGCTTGTTGACCATCCTGCACCCCCACATCAATGAAACCTCCGGGACCAACATCTGCTACACTAGGGCAGTCGAGCTTGCGTGTGATATCGCATCACTGGGCAAGAAAACCAACACTCGACGATGGAAGACGGGAAGGACATTACATACCGATGGTGAGGATTCACCAGGGCGAAGCCCGCGTGTTGTGGATGGGAACTCAGTGGCAAGACCTCGCACAACTCATCATCAGAACAATGGTGTTGTTGACGGGGGTATAAGTATACCAGGAAACCTCCAAATCAGCAACGGAAGTATCTGACTCAGTGCAAGCATTCTCTCATCACAACTTCACAACCTTCTCACGACCTTCCAAGTCTCCACTTCCCGGAAAATCATGTGAGATATCCTTCCAGCTTTCTCCAGGCAGTCGAATGCCCTTCGCGCCGAGACACTTTGTTCTGACGACAAGAATGACAGGAAGGCTACCATCCTCATCTCCATGCTGTTTGTGGCAGCCACTACAGCCGTTGCAGTACCCGCCGAGCTTCTGACCAACGTAAGTACGCGATGATCTCTGCAGATTGGCGGTAGAACTGACGCTTGTATCGCAGTCGGCCCAGTGCCGTGTTGATGGCGAGTATTGCGACCAAGCTGCTTTCCGCTGCTGCAGTGGTGTTTACTGCTGCGGCAGCGGTGCCACTGGCATTTGCCATAACGCTGGCACCCAGCCTCCGATCTCGGTCTGCTTCTAGACAACGACATTGATTGCTTGAAGGATTTCCACTGCTCATCCTGGCAAGACTGCACTTGTGTGCTGGGATAAGCGACATCATAGACACCCATAGCTTGCAAAAATGTCCAATGTTCCGTACCTTTGTTTCCTCGCGAGAATCTCCCATGCACTTGATGAAGCATGAAAACGCCAAGTGACCGGCTCTGTCCACACAAGTAGTACGGCGCCAAATTTCGCAGCGTGCCATCCATTAATTTGACCATCACCACCGCGCAAACGAGCCCACTCGCTGCGGCCGGGCTTGGAACAAAGCTTTTTATTATTATTAGTGGTGGCTTTTCGTTCGTGCGAACAATGGCTGCGTTAGCGCTACCGCATCGCATCGCTAGCAAATCAATCTCGTCCACCAACAAATAGTCGGTGTCCCTTTGTTGGTTTATCTATTTCTCGCGCGTCCGGCCCCTGTAGGCAGGGCCATGCGGCTCTCGCTTCACGTAACGATTTGATCACGGCTGCCAAGCTACCTAGGTAGGTAGGTAGGCCGCCGCCTTGCAGATCCACTCCCGATGTATCTCTGGTCATTTGGGCCACCGCAAGGTGTGGGCCATACAGATTGCACTGCACAATCACACTCCCGGTTCGGCAATCATCGTCACAACGCCGGGCCGCAAATCCCTCGTCACTGCATGGCTACAGCCAGTGAGAGGGCGTGTGGATCCCGAAGGACCATGCATTAGCGGCCGATCACTCTTGTAACACGAAACATGATCAATGAGCTCTCGCCAGCATAAATGCTGAGCCTCGCCGCAATCTTGCGCACACTCCGCCCTCACAGCAACAACATCGAGAGACCTCTCTGGTTCCCATCTTATTTACGGCGTCTTTCGTTGGCCACGGCAACATCAGAACGCCACCGCGCGCAGCAAGCCACCCAAAACACGCCCAAAACACACAGTGAGCGCACTCGGCAACAACTCTTGACAGAACTCAAAGCTAACTCACGACGAGAAAGTTGTCCAAATCAACAAAACCGACGAAATGACGGCGGCACTCATCCAACATGCGCAGAACGTCGCCCGCCAAGCCACGACAACAACAACGACAACAGCCACGCCCAATCTCGGCGGCCTTCAGCTGGTCTCAATCGGTGCCCTTGTCGGCGGGATCGTCGGTGGTGTGCTGGGGGGTATCCTTCTTTTCGGTCTGATCGCATGGTTGATCATCGCGAAACGACGCAAGTCGAAGGCGCGAGAGGCCAGCCTCAAGCAACCTATCTGAACAAATTGACGAAGAAGAGAAGATCTGCTCAACATGACCTTATGGAGTTACTAGGGAATCGCGATGCGGCTATCGGCAGAAACCTGGGACATTGAGATATGTACTTAATATGAAACGAAGAACGTCCTCGTCTATCCGTCCCAGTGTTTGACTTGCCTTATATCTTCTTCCGTTTCTCTTCATGCATCATAATCAGTTTCAGGCCGTTGTTCACTCTTGACACTCTTCTGTCCTTTCCACCTGCCTTGCCTCATCACCGGCAGCGGTGAGGGAAGCATTGTGTCCATCGGTGGACTACGCATCGAAGGCGCGAAGGACCGTGGTAGCGTTGATATCGAAAGTGACGACATGCTGAGCCGATGGGCAGAGAGACCAACTTGGTCACCGAACATCGTCAGTGAATTAGCTAGCCCCCTTGTCGTCGTCAGACAATTATCCCACTTCACGCGTTCTTTTGACACACTATCATATTTGTACATCGGCTCTTCGATGAGCTGTGTCTATAATAGCCTGAGATCCGACGGCGGGATCATAGCTCGTAAGCGGATATATATTCATCAAAACCGGGAGCCTATAGATGGAGTAGAAGCCTGTCATATTGAAATGATAATGTGGAGATGGAGGTAGAATACATTTCTATATAAAAAAGAGTTTACACTCCGATTAGGTGAAGTTGAACACTGAATTTTGGTGATCTAGATGTTCCGCAGGGCAGGTAAGACATTCCTAGGCCGAGAAAATATTGGACGGCGATTTTTCGTATCGACATGTTGACATCGTCAATACCGCGGAAGCAAGAAGGAGATAGCCGAGATTTTGGCCCAAATGTGATTTAGACACCAACGTGATCTGTAATTTTCGCCAGGCGTGATTCCAAGCCGCCGCCATCACTTGTGCTTGTTTTTTTTGAATGTGCGGCGCGTCGCAGTCCGCCCCTGACGTGCTCGTCTCCTTTTCCGAGTTGAATGATCATCACCAAAATCAGAGTCCGATCCTGACCCTGACATGGTTCCCAGCGCCATGTGATCGCATATATGCTCATAGGGATCAGCTATCCTAGGATCGTACGGTATCCCAGAGTACGTGCACCACGCACAATCGTGGTTTCGAGCAATGTCCTGAACCCAAGCATCTATGAGTTCTTCCAATAGTGAAGAGTCGCGAAAATGGCGCGCTGTATGTGCCCATGAATCCAAAAAGTCTTTGATATAACATTCACGGAACTTCTGATCTTCCAGTCCCGGGCCAAAAGTATGCACATAGTCCGCTAAAGCTGTCGCAAGAGGAACCCCGTGAGCGAGTTCAACATGAATGGAGGATGGTTCGTATATCGCCGAGGGTCGGAATTGATGCCCGTAAAGATACGAATCTGCTAACGCTATGACAGCGTGTGGTGAGTTGGGCGGCACAACGACACACTCGTTCGCTTTCTGTACAAAGAATGATCCGTGGTTCATTTTTGTCAGAGCAGCAGCAGTATTTCGCATACACAAAGGGAGCTTGCTAAGTTCCGACGAGGGCCATACAATCCAGAGCTTTAGGGGGCCAGGCTTTCCAATCGCGATCGATACGTGCGGCACGGTATCATGGTGGACTTCTGTCTTAGAACAACGTGGCGTGATGTTTGCGTCTGCGGTCAGGGTGTTCAAATGGATAGAGTCAGCGAGGCTGTGGTGGCGCCGAATGATCTTCTCGGCCCACGCTTGCCACTCTCTTTGGAGTGCTGAGTCGACTAAAGCTTGTGTTGGCAAATTCAACACGCGCAGCTTCTTTTCGGTACCTTCAATAGTTGTTCAAATGAAGCGAAGATAATCATCTTTGCTGCCGCTCAGTCGCTGGGTACCGTCCAACAACATCGCTCCGGGAAAGGATGTTCCGCTCCTTATCCCATGATACCATTCGCAGAGCATGTCCCCAAATTTCGGAAGCGAGGGCGACGGCTCCGTCTCGAACGACCAAGGAGTGTGCGGAAGTGCAGGATACGGCGTGTTGAGACGAATGTTCGTCAGCTGTAGGAGTTGGTCCCATCCCCAATCGTCAAGGCATTTCCTATCAATTCCGCAAGCTGACAAGACATCGCTGATCGTTCGATAGAGCTCGACAGGGGCCTCTCCTGCGTGTTTCGCGTAAAGTTCCTGCATCTTTGAAGTCAGGGACGCGTCAAAATTTTGTGTCGGGACCCATCGTTCCAATTCATCCAAATTCAGGCGGACATCTGCTCTCAATGATCTGCTCGGCAACTGAGTGGCTAGATAAAAGACCTCTTTGCCAAAATTCGAGTGGACCTGCTGGAGGAAAGTGATCTTGTTTTCAAACCTTTTGGTCGTAGTCCTATGAGATGAAGATTTTTTCATCGGTTCCCTTCCTGTTGTTATTGTTTCCAGGCATTTTCTGAACCGCCTCTCTTGTCCCTCAGTTATGAAGTTGTCGGCTTTCCATCTTGATGTGTCAGACACCGCTTTGTTCAAAGCCTCAGAAAGGCTAGAGAAAGTTTGAGACATCTGTTTGTCTTGAAATTTGTTGTACATTCAAACGAAAGCAGGCGGGCACTTGACCAGAGTAATTTATTAATTCTTTTGGGCACATACCAGGGGCACGGACTGGGCACTTGGGCACGCCGAGGGCACTTGGGCACAAAGTGGACACAGCTTGTCAACGTCACGTGACCAGACTTCTCCACACTACCTTCTGCAGAAGCCCAGCCCGCTCAGGTGTTGGAGGACATCTGGCGAATCTTTGCACAGTAAGAATGAGGAAATATCTAAGGACAAGCAGATCAATCATTCGCAATCACGATGATGCAAAATACTATCAGACTTAAAAAGTAGCAGGTATCACATGCAAACCATACGTCTGCGAGAACTCTGCAGACTGGACTCGTGATGAAAAGGGTTACATTGCGCGTGGCGATTGCAGGCGAAGCTCTGCATGAATCACTGACTTCACGCTACCGATCCGTCACTTGTTGGGCAATCTTCACACGCAAAATTTCTGTTGATATATCTCGTATTTCATGCATCCCTCTCAGTGCATATCCTTCGCTTAAGAAATGATGGATTATTTAATCGTTAAAGTCGACACAATAAATGGGCCATGTCGTCCGGACTCGAGGTAGTGTACAGGGTGTATGGATTATGACGGTGGTGGATGCGCGCACGATTTAGCGTTGATGGATGTTAGGGTCGACCTCAAGAAAGCCCAATCCTTCAGTCTGAAATGTTCGACGAGTGACCGCTTGCCAAGTTCTTCATCATGTTCGCTCACTCACTGCACCGCGCAGGTGCTATTATCTTCCAACATGGTCGCTGTTGATCAGCTCCACGAAAATCTCTCAGCTTTATACAATCAGTCAGCCCGTTGCTGCCACACAGCTGCTTCACAACGTACTGATGAATTGAATCTTTGCGCCGGACAACTTCCTTGGCAAGCGCGAATAGGGCTGCGACGATGGTCAGGATGCTCGCCGCTATGCTAAGAATTTGGCTGAGCACTTCCATCTTGAAAAAGATTGTTGTTTCGCCTATATAGTTAGTCCTTATGGGTTCGCATTCTACGCATGTACGTCCAATCACCGGCATTCCTCAAAGAGATTGTAACAACGCGATACAAGAATAATCAATTCCAGTTAACTTCGCAACATTGTGTGAAGGGCAGGCCCTTAGGGTTAACATCAGGCTGAGGCCGATGCTACTACACCCTAAAGGACCGTGCGCTCCGCGGTAAAGCCCGCCTCAAAAAGGGCAGACTCTAGGCTTTACTACTCTATCTTTCTCTCTTTATTAAACTTATTAGATATCTTGTCAAACTCCCGCGTACGCGTTGCTCGCCTATAATATTAAGTTCGATCTCTAAAATAGAAGGACTATTATCCTCGGCGTTTACGGTAGAGGCCGATAGCAACTAGTTAGTAAGCGATACCGCTAAATAGAACCCTAACAAAGTCTAAATACAAGCGGTAATAGAATAGATATATACTCGCTAGTAATAGATAGAAAGAGACTTAGCGGCCGCCCTCTAATAAGCGGAAACAGTAGCTAATTAAGTAGCGGCCGTATCTATAGCAAACCCCGCTAATACGCTACTAACAAATTAGCTACTATAGACCCTTATTTAATTGCTTACTACGGTAATAAACGCGTAACCTATATCTAAATAGTTAGGATTAAGAGAATAGAAACCGCTATTATAGAATAGAAAAGTAGGAACGTTCCGTAACTATATCCTAAGGATAAAAAGTTCTTTCTAAGTAAGGTCCGTAATAAGATTAATACTCTCTAACGGATACTACTAGGACACCGTCTACAATATACTACTACTCCGAGAACGCGCTTAAATAAGGCACTTCTAGTAGAACGGCTATAGATTATATAGTAAGAGCCCCGTAGCATTCTTTATATAGCTCGAGTTACTCTCTACTCCGATTGCATCTGACGGTACCAACATGTAATCGCTCCCGGAACGCTGAAAACTGTACGGAAATGAGATTCTGCACGAAAACGATATTCTGTGCGGAAACGATATTCTGTACCGAAAAGACTTTCTACGCAAAAAAGACAACTCGTACGGAAAAGGGATTCTGTGCGGAAACGAGATTCTGTATAGAAAAGACATTTCGTACAGTATGTCTTTTCCGTACAGAATGTCTATTTTTAGATTTACCGCTAGCATTGACTTCTGGGAAATGATATCAAAGTTATTGTAAAAGAATGACAATGTCCAATCTATGCGGATGCTTCAAGCCGCCCAAGTCGACTAAGACGCAAACGAGAAATTGCGTACAAAACATAGCATCCGCTGGATGCGCGCCTTTCCCGATGCACGCATCCTACTCTCTCCTCTCAGCCCGATTCCTCGGCAACGATCCCGATGCGAGATCCGTCTTACCCTACTTTGCATTATTTTCTTGCGCTCCCGAATTGCCCACAACATTGATTCAGGTGAATAGCTCGAGATATAATATAGCGCAAGGAAAAGAACATCGTGGAGACAGGGCGCCAACGAGGGAGAGCACAGGATACACAGGGTGGGTCGCGACGGGAATAGGCTTTTAATCGTAGGATCTAAAAATAAACATTCTTTTGGCTATCACATCACACACCTCTCCTGCGTCGATACATCCATACCGGGGCACGTTAGCCACTGCCACAAGTGGCCGTGACACGGTGATGAATAAGACTTCGTTGTCGTTTTGGCTGCCCCAAAGGCTTATACGTCTGTCCGGTCCTTTGATCGGGTTCCCAATCGATGAAATATTGATTGTCCGATTTTTGTAGAATGCTGCTTACCGGCAAGAGTTTCCAATGACCGTAATTCCTCTGCTTGCGCGAATCCTGTAAAGAAAGGATCAACCGCACGGCAGTAAGACTGCGGACGGTAAAATGTCCGCACAGTTAGGTTGTCGGTACGGCCAAAATGCTCGCGCGGTCGAAGGATACAAGATAATCGAGGTTATCCGCGCGGCCACGCTGTCCGCACGATCACGCTGCCGGAAGGTCAAAATATGGTCGAGGGTGGCCGCACGGTCGAGGGTGTCCGCAGCACAGTCGAAGGCGGCCGTAGTCGAGGGTGGCCGCACAGTCGAGGGTGACCGCAGCACAGTCGAAGGCGGCCGTAGTCGAGGATGGCCGTACGGTCGAGGGTGGCTGTACGGTCGAGGATGGTCGCACGGTCGAGGGCGGCCGCACGGTCGAAGGTGGCCGCACCGTCGAAAGCGGCCGTATGGTCGGTCGAGTGTCCGCAGGTCCGTGCGGTCAATATGTCCGCACGGTCGGTGGATATGAGATTATCAAGGTCCATACGGTCATGCTATCCGCACGGGTAAGAGTACCAAAGGATAGATATCCTCACAATTACATTATGTCTCTTACTATTCGAACCTATACTAAGGAAATAGCTATGCACATGTTCTCCTCGTGCTGCAATTCTCAACAAGTTATACTCGACAAGCACCCAGCATTTTACTATGATGGGACATTGGATGTTGGAGGCATAAACAATTGAATGCTTGCCTCGCACTGGTACTTGCCTCGCACGGGTGCTTGCCTCGCACGGGTGCTTGCCTCGCACGGGTGCTTGCCTCGCACGGGTGCTTGCCTCGCACGGTCATCGGCCGTGTCCAAAAGCTTCTACGGGACGCGCCGTACGTTGTTGCCTCTACTATCACTTTTTATTTCGCTCACTTTCTTTTTCATATCCTCAAGAAAGACTCACGAGTATTTAGGCGCTATTTCACGGCAGCTGCAGCTTCTGCTCCATTTGTTTTGTTTACTACTGGAGGACAACTCCTTTTGCTCCAGTTGAGTTTGCGTTGTTAACGACCCACGGGTAACTCAGATCTACGCGCTAAGAAAGAGCGATGTGGTACGGCTGATCTTGGCTCTCCCGTGAAGCGTAAGGGATACACTAGCTTGAGCAATGTGCGCCTGACCTTAGCGTATTGATTGTGAAAGAGGACTTTGATCTAGCCGATCCATAATAACATATTGTCCAACAGTAGTAAACACGATCGGAATGCCGACCGACAGTAGCGGTACTAATAGAAGCATTGTACCACCTTGGGAAAAATCGCCCAGGTACGTGTTAGACATTGGATTCGCGCAAGTCTGCCTGTCAGGCGCTTGTTCCGTACGTCTACGTTAGTAAGCGCCGGTGCGTTTTGATCTTTAACTCATAGTTGCAAGGCACGAAGTTGCAAAGATGGCGTGGCTATAGTGGCGGCAAATCTATTTATAACTTCCATGTGCATATAAATACAGCATGAAGGCCTGTCCTGAGACATTTTCTTCCCGTAACAGAAGTCTTTTTTACAAATTATACAGCAGGATGGCCGGTCGACCGAAAACAAGCCTCCGGAAAGATTCCTTTCGTAAGCGTAAACACACCGTGTTCAGCAAAGCTAGTCAGCTTGCGGATAGCTTCGGTGTACATGTCTATGTTGTAGTACAATTTAACGGTCGGTATCATGTCTACGATTCTGGAAATAAACAATAATAGCCACCGAGCGCCGAGATGATAGTTAGTATTCCTTAGGAATTTCCTGTAACTGCAATCCGCTAAACTCTTCTAGGATCAAAGCTATCCCCTTCTAGAAAAGTATATAAGAAAGCAAGTATGAGAAGCGCTCTACATGCTTCCAATGTGTTGTTAGTAACGATTATAGGTATTCCCTCTACGGAGCAAGGTTCTAACGTCCCTCCCGGCGTCGCGAGCCACCCTATGTAACGAGCTAGTATTGGACACTTTGATCGATAATACTCTTCAACACCGATATGAATTTGCTTTACTGTATCTATACTGTAGGTTAGGATGTTACCCTTCGATCGACCGCTCTACATCGAAATCGGGTGAGTGTTGTAGTCGCTGTGATCGATTCCTTCCTCGTGTAAAATCCTAGTTATCTCGTGAATCGCTACGTGTGAGTGTATTTCTAATTAGCTCGTAGCGTTGCTCGGCTCGGCGGGCTACGGAGAGTCCGCTCTATTACTGCCTTTAGTATCGTTTTGTCTCATCGAGGTTTGCGCGATACCGAGTACTGCCGCCGGCGAGGTTCACGATATTATGTCGGAATCTCCGCTACTAAGTTAGGTTAGCGACCGGGAAGTCCCGCGGACTGTGCTATACGCTATAGCAACCCTGCTTCGTCTGCTTGTCTATATTAGGTATCCTTAAAAACACTGTAGGCTACAGTCGATCGATTAGATAAAGTGAGACGCCCGATTTTAGAGGTGAAGCAAATCGCATTATTCTATATATGAATTCTCTTCCGACTTATTATTATCTCCCGTATCTTCTCGGAAATTAACTCTCGTCGAAATACGATAATCAAATCGATTTACTTACATTGCCTCGTATCGATATAACTATATATATCGGAGAGAAATAAGATCGATACAATCTCTAGCGTTTCTACAATCTGTCTAGGACCCTGCTAACAGCTTTGCGACTCTTTCTATCGGTTCTATGTAGAGCTAGTAGCGAACGGACAGGAGGACAGCTATCTACATCTTGTGTGTCGTCGCTTGCGTGTTCGTAATAAAGGCCGTTTAGCTGTTAGCGTACGGACAACAACGACTCCTTTAGAGACTCTATACGAGTCGGTAACGCCTACGAGAGCTTCTCGTATCCGCGCAGCGCCCGTATATACATCTCCTCCGCCTCCGCCAGTTTGCCTTAGCTGTCGTACAGAATACCGAGATTGCTAACCGTAGACAGCGTCGACGTGTGCTCCGCGCCCTATGCCTTCTCTTTCCCGCGCAGCGCCCGTAAGTACATCTCCTCCGCCTCTGCTATCTTGCCTTGGTCTAAGTACAGAGCGCTAAGATTGTTGACCGTGTTTAGCGTCGACGTGTGCTCCGCGCCCTATACCTTCTCGAACCCGCGCAGCGCCCGCAAGTATATCTCCTCCGCCTCCGCCAGCTTGCCTTAGTCCGTATACAGAATGCCGAGATTGTTAACCGTGTCTAGCGTCGACGTGTGCTCCGCGCCCTATGCCTTCTCCTTCCCGCGCAGCGCCCGCAAGTACATCTCCTCCGCCTCCGCTATCTTGCCTTAG